TATATGAATATATGTGAATACATAATATATATAATATATATGGATATATATATATTTATGATCTCACTTAAGACTTTTAAGATTAGTAGCATTATAAAGTAAAGATTAGAGCCATTTAAAAACTTCCCCCATCCAGAATTTCAAAGGTGCCTGCTTGGGGACCCAAACGGAGCCCACCTTGTCTAACCTGACAGGTTTCTTCATGTTGTTTTCAGACTAAAATATTCTGGCAGGGTTTCAGATTACCAGGCTAGTCATGGGAGGATTTTTTTCCCCCAGAAAAATTCCATGCTCCCTGTTTTCATTCTACTGAATGGAACATGTTTGAATTTACTCCAACACAATGAGACAGAACTAAAACTGACGTGTTATAATTAACACAACTGTTTTCTAATTTATCTCGCCGCCTCCCTTTGTGCCTCCTCCTGAGGATCTTGGTGATGGGAAGTGGGCATGATCCCTGACTTCAAGTCCACTGCTCTCAGATGACAATTGGAGGTACATCCAGATAACTGTGGCAGTTCACCTCTATTCAAGCAGCAGCTTACTCCTAATTTTTAACTGATTCCTGACCTTAGCACCTAATGGAACCAATTCTGAAAACCAGCTTATGGATTCTGGAAACCATTTGTCCCCCAGATTCTACTTACCAGTCATGCTGGCCATTTTTTCACACAGAACCTCCCCATGTGATGTACAAATACCAGATTTGGGGAAAACATGCTGTGTGTTGAAAATCTTTTATGGATGCAATGTCTGAATTAATTAAAAAACTGCTAAGCTTGCCAGGTTTTCCTTGGCTCTCTGTCAGTCCTTCCCCAGCAAGCTGTGGTATGCTAATTATCCAGGAAGACCTGGGGCTGCATAATCAGGTTCTATTGTCTCACAAACTCTTTGCAACTGGCCAAGCTTCTTCAGGGTACAGTCAGGGTGGGGCCTCCTATGTTCCTGAGGTTAGGAAAGGCTACCCAGGATGGCACCGGAAAGATATTTGCTGTCTTTATCTTCCCAAATAAGGAATTATGGAGCTCTTAAGAAGTCTGACTACATTAATAATACCATATTTAGAATAATTACAGATAACTTGGAGGCATCCATATTAAAATAAAATTTTTAAAGTAAATGATACAAGTAGAAATTGAGGGCTCAGATCATTAACCTGGGAAGGGGAAGGATAGGCCATATAAGAGGAACAGAACTTTTTAAGAAAGTTGCAAACAGCTTTAGAGACAATAGAACCTGATTAGATGGTGTCAGGTCTGTCTGGGTGCCTAGCACACCACAGCTTGCTGGAGGACGGATGGAGACCCAAGAGAAATCTGGCAAGCTTAGTAATTTTTTTTAATTAATTCAGACACTGCATCTGTAAAAGACTCAATTTTGTGTTATTCGAGTTTACTTATTTCAATAAATATATTGCTAATTCATTCATCTTAACTGATTATTGTATACCTGTGGACTAACCTACTACATATATATTATGATAACTATGCAGATTTTCCCCATTTTCTGCTACTCCGGGTAATGCTGTTATGAATATTCTGTGACATGCTCCCATATACACATATCTGAGTTTCTATAGAACGTGAATATCAGAGAATTACTATACCAGAGGTAACTTCATTTTCATTGTTACTATGCATTGCTAAAGCTAATTTTAAATCCTAGATTCCTCATCCTTTTCTTTATTACGACTAACCTCATAGGAGAGAGGAGGCAGCCTCTACTTTCTCTTTCCTCTACCTTGGATGTTTTTATCCTCTTCTATCTGGTTGGTAATTGTACAATTATTTTCTGAGGCTGAGTTAAGCTCTCTCTTCTCTGAAACTATCCCCTGAATCCCCAACAAGCACATAGTGGTCACTTTCTCATTTGCACTTTCATGGATGGCTCTTCTATATGCAATTTATCAATTACTGACTCCTATAGAACCTACCTTGCCTACCTGCAAAATTTCAAAGAGCTATAAACTGTAGAGAAGAAACCAAAGAGCCGACTCAAAATAAACTGTAGTGATGTTATATCCTATAACCAATTAATAACTGCCTCAAAACCCGACAACTGGAAAGGTCCCTCAGCAGTAGCATTCACAGCATGGCATGGCCCTTGATCCAGTTTAACCTTTCTTATCCAGAACACTTGTGTTCATTATGCAAGATGGAACATGAAAATAACTGTGCTAACTCTACCACCTACAAACACAAGCAACTTGGTCCCTGTCTACATTTCCCTTGATATCCGCTTGGCCAGAAAATGCACATATGTGAAACTATTAAAGTGGAAAAAAACTATGTATAAAATTTTTAAATTATACAGATTTTAAAGCAAACAGAAGTTTAGAGGTAATATCAGTAAAATTTCCATTTGATAAATGAAAATTATATTTCAAAGTGTTGTTCTACCTGATGTCACCCAGCCAATTAGTAGAGTCAAACTTTGCTAATTGGCAACTTGTTTTTTCTTTAATTCAGAATATATTTATAGACCAATTGACCATACCACATCTTTATGTAAACACTAATTAGAACAAATCTGAGGAGTGCAACTTAATTAAAACATTTTCCTTATGCACCAAGTCTGTGACTATTACCCTATTATCACAAATTATACAAAGGGCATTATTATCACCAGAGTTTTATGAAATAGGGGGCAATGGTGACATTTGAGGAAAACAGGAGGTAAACTTGGAAGTTTTAACTGATTAACATAAGTTTAAAAACAGTTTCCCTGATGAAAGGGAATTTAAAGAAATGCAAATTTCAGGACTTGGGGAATGCAATGGTCTAAGAAGTAATGTAAGTCTAAAGAACAAAAGGTGAGGGCTGTATGAATGGCAGCTCTGTCAGGTGCATTGGCCTGCCACTCAGGGTGGAGTGGAGATCCAGAAGGTCCCTGAACTCCTCTCTGTGAATTGCAGTCTTCTGATATATAGTCTCATTGGAAAGATCAACCATTAAAGTAAGGAACCTGCCAAAGAGGACCTCCACTAGAGGTCACAGGGAATCAGACAATATGTGTTGAGTTAGCTGCCAGAAAAATGAATTGAATGTGGGTCAGAGTCACAAAGTCAGGGATGTGTGCATGTCCGTGGAGTCCTGCTTAGGGGAGTCTTCAAGGAGTCTGTAGATATACCCATAAGAAAAGAATTAGCTGAGCCCATCAATAACAAGAAGCAAATGTGCAAATGTACAACCACCAAACAAGCAAGCCTACGGTTCCCCCTTTGTCCACATTTCTTTCATGCATTCAGCCCAGGACAGATTGTCCATCTAAGCATAAGAAAATGAGTGAGCAGGTGGTAGAGAAGGAAAACGAGAAGAAGTGGGGAAAGAAGAGCAGGCTACTATTACCATCCTTACAAGCTTACACCGGCCTCCTTAGCTTGCCCAAATTAGTGAGAGAGTACTGGAGAGGTCTCATCTTTGAATGAAGACTAAAACGTTAATTTGTAGACTATTATATTAACTTGGACATTGATGGGATATTTCTGACGCATCTGTTTGAAATAAAAGATGATAAGATAACTTTCTATTAACTAAGAATATCCAGAACAATGGTGCAATCTGCCTACATTTCCACCAGTGACCTGGGTAGTGGCAAATAATAAATATGGAGTTGGCTATGTGGATGAGGCTGTGCTGTGGTTATATCCTGTGGGTCGTGACTGATCAGTACACCAGTCACAAATTTCACCGTGACAGGCACATTACATGATCTCATTTAATTGTTATCCAGATCAGTCAATTAGATATTACTCTACTCACTTTTAAGAATAATACAGAAAAGCAACTAAATTAAGTACATTGTTCTGTGAGTAACTAGACCTCGCCAGCCCCCACCTTCCCCAAAAAAGAGTATCTCTAAAGATTCAAGGTCCTTTGGCTTCTTTTGTAACCTGATGCCAAATTTAAAAAAAGAACGAGGATGAGATGAAATCAGTATCGTCAAATCTAAGAGAATAGATGCATCATCTCCACAAAAACTGTTGGAAAGAAATATTAAGTCTCCAGTAAGTCACTTGAAAAAGCACCAAAGAGAAATTATATTTACAACCTAGTAAAATTCCTTAAAACTTTCTTCTCTATTTTTAAAATATCTCCTATAATAGGCTACCATCGGTCTCAAATCTGCACCTTTCAAACATCCAAGAGTTCTTTCCCCAATTCAAGGACTGTCCTGGCTTTTCTCCCTGTATTCCATTGCTACCTTATCATATCCATGATTTTCCCCCAGGAAGGATTTCTTCATAAGGGCAATAAAGCAAACATTTTTTTCTGTTTGGATCTTGCTCATCCTTAGCCTCCTTGTCATAGCCAAAGTACTGAGAAAGGTAAAAGGTGCCAGAAGAGAGGCATGGGCCTTGAACATTTTAAGTATTTCACTGCTGCCGTAGATGAGTTCATAGACTTGAAGTGTCTATTTGCATTTGAGTGACAATGCCTTCACACAAGCTTAGCAATTATATCAGGTTTTGAAGCAAGGGATGAACGTGGATATTTGTAATACTAGCATTGTATCTACTCTCTTCCACCCCATGCTAAGTGGCTAAAAGAATGGTGAAGCCCATTCTGCATATTCTGAATGGTGACATTTTCTCCCACCTTGGAAAGGTAGTTCTGAGGAGGACAGCCTTTCTTAAGTGTAAGTTCTATGAAACCTATAATCAGTTTCTTTCTCTAATTGAGCACTTTCTTTCCTTAGATTTTAGAAGAAGCATGAAAATGATTTACTGATTTAGGAACTGGGTGGAGTAGACTGCAAAAAGACAAATCAAAAACATCTGGAATGAACTAGTTGAGAGAGAAAGAGAGAGAGAGAGAGAGGAAAAAAATAAGGCTTTCAAATGAAACAAAGTACAGATGATTTGGCCAAATTTAAGCCAAGCCAAACACTCACATTAAACATTGCACTTGGGTCTGGTTCAATAGCAGGAGCCGGCATGAGGGAGCCTGGGCCAACACTGCATCAGACACACATTGAGGACAGAGGAATGAGTTTAGTCAAGCCAGCTGTGACTTCAAAGGGGCTGCTCTCCCACAGGACAGCGGGAAAGGGTTCCCCCTTCAGTGAAGATCACAAAGTTCAGCCAAAGACAGTCCAAAGGGAGCGGATCCAGGAAGAGGAGAGGAGAATTATATTCAACACAGGAGAAGGAATGCTTCCCTTCCCTGACACGGCTGTGACAGTCTGAAGAAAAAGGAAAATGACAAGGAAGAAAGGTGAGAAGTCAGTATTCTGATATTCATTTCAGACTATAGCCCTGTAATTACAAAATGGGATGTGTGCAATATGTAAGGTTGCCTTTCAGTTTAAACACCTCCTATCATAAATAATGCTCCCAAACTTGTGGGAGGAGAGAACATAGGCTTCCTCCCTGATGTACTCCCGTGGCTTCTTTCCCCATTTGTGCTTCTAGAGAACCATGCATTTCTTTCAAATTATTTACTCAGCACACATTTATTAAAGAAACGAACAGCAGCTATACCCTGGGAATATGGAGACAAACAAGATGGCTCCTGTTTGGGGTCAGGAGGAAAAGCTAGACACATAAACACAGGATTATAGTATTAAGTAATAAGCCTTATATTGCAGCAATGATTTCCAAAATGTGATCACCTGAGGAGAGAATCTGACTCACTTGGGAACTTATTATAAATGTAAATTTGCAGGCTCCAAGCCAGTCACACTGAAAAAGAAAGCTGAGGTTGATTTACCGACATCTCCATGTGATTCAGATGAGTTTAAATTGGAAAACAGGCTTGACTGTAAAGACAAGAGGACTTTGGAGCAGACAGTCCACATACCTGAGCCAACTTTGGAATCCTCAGCCACTACAAATACCTCTCAGTCTCTCCCAGATCAGAGCTTATCCAAATGGCTCTCTGGTATTTCACATGGGTAATACACAAGTGAGTGTGTTCTCTCCATAGATAAAGTATAAGATCTTCAAGGGCAGGGATTCTTCTTTCATACTTTCCCCTTTTCCTAATTTCCATCCATACAAGTGTAAGAACTTACCTTAAGTAGATAATTCAGAAACTAGAAGAGTTTACATTCACCAGGAGAAATTAGCAAAAATAGATTTATAGTTTCCTTCACTCTTACACATTGGTGGATAACATAACTGCTATCTCTTTAAACCACTCACTTTTCTCTGTGACATCTTTACCACGGGCTTGTTCCTCTTCTGCTTGAGTAACTCCGCTGATGAAGATTGCACTATCTCAGGCTGCAGTCTGCTTCCACTCAGACAGCTCTGTGAGAAAGAGTTCCCTTCTGGGCTGAACACTGCTATCATTTAAATTCCATTTGTTAGTTATCGTCCTATCCCATGGGAACCCACAGCAAAGACACTCACATATTAATGTGACATTTTTCAAGTATTTGAAGTTAGTAATTATGTAGCATAAGACATAGGTTAAATTCATAGACTCTGGAAGCAGACTGCCTGCCTTCAAATTCTTCTTCTGCCACTTACTAGCTATGTGACCTCAAGAGAGTTATTTACTATCTCTATAACTTGATTTCTTTATCTACATAAAAAGATATAATAATATCATTACATCAAAAGGCTTTTATAAGGAGTACATGAATTAATATATGTAGATGTGCCTGGAGCACTGTAAGTGCTCTAAAAGTTTTAGCGATTACTCATCATCATTATCCTGAAGATCTTGTCAGATATCTGACCTGGGTCATCTCTCCAATTCTATATTCATTCACCATGTGATCCCACTCACTGCCATAGCTTCAGTCACCATGCCTCTTTTTCCCCCTGAGCATATACCTAAATGAAAGTGGCCAGTTGGAGCCACATGAAGTGTTCTAGCCTCTATGATTTGGGTAGAAACATCACTTCTAGTCCTGGCCTCTATCATACCTTGAGAAATCTTCCACATGCTTTTTCTTAGCTCATCAGCTAGCAAATACAAAAACAGAAAACCAAAAACAAAAAAACCTCTTGGACTATTCAAAGTAGATCCCAACGAGTGGGAAACCCACAGGCTGGAAGAACCTAGTTCTTTGAGGGAAAGCTGAAATTACCCTAAAACTTAGAGGGGAGCTGTCTAAGAGACCCAACATACAGAGACATTTGTATTACAATTTTTGTGGTTAAGAATTAAAACATTTACTGTAAGCTGACTTTTCATACTTATCATGGCTGACAGAATGACTCCCTAATTTATTTTTCTTGCTCAGATTGTGCTTCTGAGCTCTATATAATATACTATATATAATTCATTATGTAATTCACTTCCTATTCAGCCTTTCTAAATGTGCCCTCAAAGAGAGTAATATGTCAACTCAAGGTCTCTGAGATTAGACTATGTGCATCAAAATTGCAGTCCTTGAAGATATCAGCTCTCTATTGACAAGAGGCTTATATAAAGTTTTCAATACTGTATGCACTTGAGTCATTAAAAATTGAATGAGCACATGTTTATAAAATACTTAGAACAGTCACTGGTTCATAGCAAATTCTCACTGAAATTCAAGTAGTATAATAACCCACCCCAAACTTTTCTTTCCTATACTTTTCCTCTACTGATAAATGGTACCACTGAGTTTTATACCCTTTTTTTTTTCATTTCCCCACATAGGATAAACCACTAATAACCAATTAATTGCATTCCTTAAGTATTTCTCAGATCCATACACTTGTCTCTGTCCTTCTCTTCATCCTAACCCAGATAACTGGCATTTCTGGTTATTATACTTATACACTTACTAGTCTTTTTGTGTTTATCTTTGCATCCTTCAAATTCATGCCTCACATGGAAATGTAAACATTCTTTTTAAAGTCTGACCTTGTTGCTCCAAAATTTAAAATGTAAATGCACCGATTCTTTCCACTGCCCCTTGGTGTGACCACACTGCTAACCGATTACCTCAGCATCTCCTCTACCCCACCTCACAGCTTCATCTCTGGAGTTCAGCCATGCTGAGCAGTTCTTGGCTTCACAGGGGGCCACTGATTATCCCATCTTTCAGACTTCCCTGTGTTGTTTACATATACAGCACTTAGAATCAACTTTCTCCCTTCCCTGGTTTGCCAAATGTCTTAGTTATTTTTGGCACTGCTCAAACAAAAATACCCAACACTCGAGATTAAGAGAAAAAAGGTTTGTTTCACCTCACAGTTTGTGGAGGCTTACATCCATAAGCAGCTGGCTACAAGGCTGATGGCAGACAACAGTGGGGCATCACAAAGCAGGCAGGAAGCAACAGCAAAAAAGCAGAAGCAGAAGCAGCAGCAGTCCTCTTTCTGTGCCTTACATCCCCTCCAGGATACCCATGCTTAGGGTGGGTAGCACACCCGGGTGGGACACCCTTAATCCCAGTGTCACGCCCCCTAAATCCAGCTACTTCTGAAAATCTCCACCTATGACTGCGTGAGGCTTTGGGAGACCTCCAGACACAAGCCCTGTTGCCAAATTAATTCCTGATCATTCTGTATACTTCGATTTAAATGCCATACTCTCCACAAAACCTTTAACAATCTCTGCCCACACTAATTCAAGATAAGCTCACATAGCTCCTACCTTTCTCCCTCATTAAACTCAGTACTCTTGCTATTATTTACATAATCATCTCTTTCCAGATGACCAGTGAGATTTGTGAGCAGTGAGCTCAGGTGTTTGATTCTGTCTCTAGTATATTACCTTGTACAAAGGAGAGTTTCACTTTATATATTTTTTTTTTAACATACATATTTATATATATTATATATTCATTTTACATATATATTTTATATATATTTATATATATTCATTTTACATATATATATATATATATCTTTTGTAAGAGTGAGCATGAGTACATTTAGGTAGCTTTGTTTGTATACACCCCATGTGGATTTTTAAATTTCTATTGTTTTACGCTTGGCAAACGAATCTTATAATCAGATCATGTACCTCATTGAATTCCCTTACAAATTTAGAAAACACAACATCTGACCTCTTAGAGTTCCAATTCCGCTTGATTTGCCACCTATATAAAATAAAAGCTGTATTATAGGTCACACATTATGTTGAGCTAGAACCTGTATGTATATATTATTTGGAGTTGGTGATATAGTATTTTGTTTATGAAAACAGTGCTCTGAGCTTGCTTATATTCTGACCATCCCCAAATCCTTCCTTTCCTTGATTCATACAGCACATGTGAGTCCAGACCAGGTCAGACATACAGGAGAGGTGATTATAAGCAAATTCAACCAGGTTATTTTTGTTTTAAGAAAATGTTTATATGTTGTTCCAAAATTTGAGCAAGTGCATAGTTGTGCAAGAAGAGGAGTTGAATGCCCTAGAGACAGTGCAACTTAGAGACAGTGTTTTGTAGGGAGGGAAACACTGTGGAGCAGATCACCTGGGCACATAGACTCTGTGTTGCAGTTTCAGAGTCCAGCTGCATGCTGTGTGTGTGAAGTGTAGAATGTATCTTGGTAACGTTTATCATCTGTGGAGTGAAAATGATGACCCTCAAGTTACCAGACTGCTCATGATATCCACATCCCACAACACACATAGATCCAGAGAAGTGAAGAATTTTCCTTAGGTAACATCCTAATAATTGATAAAAGTTAGATTTGTGATTTGGTCTACAGAGCTTTTCATTCATCCCTAAGAGGTTGTCTTATCCCTTAAAAAGGAATAAAATAAGCCAGGCTTACGGTGCACATCTGTAGTCCCAGCATTCTGGCAGGCTAAAGCAAGAGGATCTCAAGTTTGAGCCCAACCAGGACAACTTAGCAAGAACTTATCTCAAAACAACAACAACCAAAAAAAAAAAAAAAAAAAAATTAAAGGCTAAGAATATAGTGCAAAGGTCCTGGATTCAACTCCCAGTACCCCGCCTCTAAATAAAGAATAAAATAACTGTATAATGCCAAGAAAGAAACAAGTTAAACTAAAGCTAAGTTTTACTAAGTCCCCACAGAATCTTGAATTATATTACAGGACGTGGGTCAAATTTAAACTAACAGAACATGTTCTCTACTTACAGAGATCATGTTTTCCAGAAATGTTTAAATAAATACACTAAAATCCAAAATAAGTGTCCCAAATTCAACAACGTGGCTTTCTTCCACTCCTAATAAAAGAGAAAAAATAAAAATTTAGAAAACTGATATGAGCCCTTTTCCCTGAAGCATGTGGGTTTCTTTACCTTGTTTGGAATCCTAACTAATAGTCTGTTGCTTTCCCTGGTTCTAATAAAA